TTTCATATTTATTACTGGGGTGGTGCCAGAAATTTTAGGGGGGTGAGCCGTGAGCAGGTGACTGAGGCAACACAAAGTGTCACCAAACCCCAGTAAGGTCTATATTCTAGGGGTGGAGCACTAGAGCCGCGAGGGGGAGTCTAGAGAGCAGAAAACAAAGTATCCCAGAAAAAATTTGAAAAAATCATGATTTCTAGCTTCGAAAAAAAGTTTTTTGAAGTTGTCAATTTGTCATATCAATGGATTTGGCATGTCCGATTGTCTGTTAAGACTTGAGAGAGTTAAAGACTTAAAGTTAAATGAACCTTTAAAAGTGTAAACCCAATAGACCTTTCCAAGGTTTCTACCGCCATATTGCAAGGGGTGCAAAAACATTGGGGCGAGCTCGCGGCCACCAATGGCGCTCATACTATTTCCTATTGAGTGAGTGAAAATTACCTTTTGACATTTTGTCCTTTTTCTCAAAAAATTTCTATACAAGCATATCCAATTTTTATTTTTAGATAATCGCTGGGTTTTTTCTGATATGTGGCCGAGATTTCTTGCTAATCGAAGGACAGGAAGTAATAAAAAACGGCGGCTTTTGTTGCACACCTTGACCGACGTTTGAGCGATGATTCTTGTTATTTCGTTTGTTTAACCGATCTTTGGAAGAATATTTGTCCATTAAGTGTGTAAGTCCTTTGGTGTCCGCCATTATTACTGTTTATATTTGTATATTTGTACAAAAATCATCGCTCAAACGTCGGTCAAGTTGTACAACAAAAGCCGCCGTTTTTTATTACTTCCTGTCCTTCGATTAGCAAGAAATCTCGGCCACATATCAGAAAAACCCCAGCGATTATCTAAAAATAAAAATTGGATATGCTTGTATAGAAATTTTTTGAGAAAAAGGACAAAATGTCAAAAGGTAATTTTCACTCACTCAATAGGAAATAGTATGGGCGCCATTGGTGGCCGCGCGCTCGCCCCAATGTTTTTGCACCCCCTGCAATATGGCGGTAGAAACCTTGGAAAGGCCTATTCCCACAGTCCTAAAATCTTTTATGCTTAAGAATTGCAAAGTGATTTCTTAGGAAATTCCGAGGTTGCGTTTTTTTTGTTTTATATATATATATATATATATATATATATATATATATATATATATAAAAATATATATATATATATATATATATATATATATATATATATATATATATATAAAAATATAGAAATAAATTTTATTAAATTTCAAATAAATACATAAATGCGTTTCGGGGCACAGCCCCTTCCTCAGAAACGAGATAAGTTCAAATCCATGTCCTTAAGTACTTTCGGCCCAATCCTAATTAACATACTTAACACTAATAATATATAGACTTGCATTAATATTCCTCCCTTAAATTTAATCCCAGTGGTACATATATGTATTCAATTTTTCAATCCAAAAACTTTCCCTCTCTGTAGGTTTATTAATATCCGTGATATCGATAATCTGTGCTTTAAAGTCATTAAGACCCGAATGGCCCTCCTCAAAAAAATGTTCATACAAATGTTGACCACATAAACCTCTTTGGCCCTTAGAATATCTATTAAGCGAACTCTTGTGGTTATTAAATCTAAGACGAAATGACGTTATCGTATTGCCCACGTATTGTTTACTACATTTTCCGCAAGTAATTAAATAAACCACTCCCTGTAATTGATTGTAACTCTCAGGGGGTTTATTTAATTACTTGCGGAAAATGTAGTAAACAATATGTAGGCATTACGATAACGTCATTTCGTCTTAGATTTAATAACCACAAGAGTTCGCTTAATAGATATTCTAAGGGCCAAAGAGGTTTATGTGGTCAACATTTGTATGAAGGCCCTGTCACACTATTGCGTATCGTACTAGCGTATGCCAGCGTATGAAAAATATCACTCATACGCCGGTATACGCTGACATACGCTATATAGGGGTACGTTAGGCATAGGTTGTATACGTTTCAAGCACGGTCGCATACGGTGGCATACGCTGGCATACGGCAAGGCAGAAAATTTTTTTTAAGGCCCTGTCACACTATTGCGTATCGTACTAGCGTCACTGAACTATATAACATGGAAGGCTGACTCGAGCTCAAAAAGTGAAGCCAACATGGCGGAAATTGAAGGCATTCTTGCGCGTCATTCTCAGTCCCCTTACGTGCGCGGTCAACAAAACTTTTATATTTTTCTTTATTTTCCGAGCAAAAATTTGGTGAAAAACAGACGAAATTTGAATGAAAAATTGAATTGTGGTGTTTTGTTTGGGTTCAGTTCTAAATTTTAATTATTATTTATTTACAAGATGCGATATTTGAGTGGAAAGATAGCAAAATAGCGTGGGATTGTTGTTTTTGTAAATGACAAAGAGTGACAAAACAAAACACAAATGTCACTCAATCTTTCAAAATATCTGTATTGCCCCTATTGACAAGGCTTTCACACACATAAATAACTCATTAAAATAAACAGTTTAAGTTCATAAAGCTATCATCAAAGTGATTTTATCAAATAAAAAATAAAAAAACAAAATTTCTTACATGTGTGGAATTAAATTGGCTAAAAACTGCCTCGAAAACTGCAGTTAAAAAGCAGTTTTGAATCAGGAAAACGGACTAAAATAAGCTAAATAATGGTGTAAAAACTGAAAAGCACCATAAAAACAAAAAAGCGAAACAACCAAAGCAAAAATAAATTCCCAATTTATAAAAATCACAGATTTATTCAAAAAAACAAAAAAGTTTGAAATTAGTAGCTAGTGTTGAATTCGCAACGAAAAATACAGATTTACTCACACATACAGTGGGAAAATGCAGTAGACAGATCGATTAGATGAAGAAAATCAGACATACATGAAATAAATGAAGTTTATTTCCTTTTTTGCTCTTCTAAAATGAATAAAAACGCAACCCGAGAGTCGTGGACCCATCACTTCCCGCCATGAAAATATAAAAAATCTTTGGCCGCGCACGTAAAGGGAATTGAGACTCCTTCAGCCTTCCATGTATATAGTTCACTGACTAGCGTATGCCAGCGTATGAAAAATATCACTCATACGCCGGTATACGCTGCCATACGCTAGGGGTACGTTAGGCAAAGGTTGTATACGTTTCAAGCACGGTCGCGTACGGTGGCGTACGCTGGCATACGGCGAGGCAGAATTTTTTTTTAAGCATGCATGCTCAAAAATTGTGTGCGTACCGGACGTATGCTTTATACGATAAGCATACTCTAGGCACACGCTGAATACGCTATAGAGGTACGCCAGATGTATACGGTACTCATACGCTGGCATTTCAAAGGATTTTTGTGCGTATGAAAATTATTTCATTAATTTTCATACACTTCTCATACGTTTCTCTCATACGCAATAGTGTGACAGGGCCTTAAACATTTTTTGAGGAGGGCCATTCGGGTCTTGATGACTTTAAAGCACAGATTATCGATATCACGAATATTAATAAACCTACAGAGAGGGAAAGTTTTTGGATTGAAAAATTGAATACATATGTACCACTGGGATTAAATTTGAGGGAGGAATATTGATGCAAGTCTATACATATATTATTAGTGTATGTTAATTAGGATTGGGCCGAAAGTATTTAAGGACATGGATTTGAACTTATCTCGTTTCTGAGGAAGGGGCTGTGCCCCGAAACGTATTTATGTATTTATTTGAAATTTAATAAAATTTATTTCTAACTTGAAGTTTTATATAAATGAAGTTTTTTGGGGTCGAGTCAGTCTACTGTGGACTGCATGAAGATGAACTTAAAGCCCTTATCAATTTGCGGGAAAATGCAATGTCCTTCACGGAGTCCGCGTACGTCACTTTCAAAAGTGTGCAAGTTGAATTTTTCGACGATGTTGGATAGATCATTTTCACCCCCTAAGGTGCCTTTTGATCTTAGCTTTTTCCGTCAGTGAATTCAATATGAATTCAATAGTAAAAGAAATTGTACCATAAGATTATCTTTATAGCGAAGAGAAACGTTTATGGAGAGATTCTACCAAAACGGCAATCGATTATTGGTTCTTTTTCCAGATGGCACTGGCTGCTGCTAGTATCCTTTTCAATTAATGAAGTTCAGTATTTTAGAGTAGAGTTCGGCAATGCTCTAGTTCGGCAGCGGAACAAGGTTAAAAAATTGCAGTCAGGAATAGAGACATGCAGGGAGAGCTTTTGTATTACATATAGCTATATTCAGTTAATTGTTTGATTTAATTCTAGCATGCCGTAAATGATCTGATGAAACGCCTCTAGTTTATATTAAACTCGTCTAGTCTAATGACGCCCCAGTGAAATCAGCATTTTGTCATAAAGAACTGGTATCTAATAAATACCCCCTCAAAGTGGCATTTATTAAATTAACCGTTTAATATACGCTTATTAGTTTGAAAGATTATTATAATAAACGTTCATTATTAAATTAAACGTGTATTAGATTAAGCGCCTTCCGAAAAACGACAGGGATTAGCGACAATGCACGAAAACGAGCGCGAAATGCAACTTGTAGTGTCGCCGATATGTTTCGCGGGGCCTGGGGCAAAATTTCCGCCGGGAGCTCTATGACATCATGATTTCGAAACAGCAGAAACAGTGGTATATTTGGGGGCCACCCTCTACAGACCTGAAGTCGAAAGGGCCCCACAAACTGAGGCAGGCCCTCAACTTGTGAGGGGCTTAATTTTTTTAAACCCTCTAAAATTGGGGGCCCCTTTTCAAGTTAGGAGCTCGGGAAAAGTTGCCCTTCCCCGTATAAGAAGAGTAAAACTGTCGTGGAAAGAACAAACACCTCTCCCTAAAAAATGCCTCTCAGATAATAACCCCCCTCTCCCCTCTATAACAGTAAGAACATTCACGGCGTTTATTAGAGCATTCACCATAGAACATTGATTTACAACGTTAGCATTTTGTTGTCATTCACTTAACAATTGTTAGTTATCCAAGTGGTAATCCGGCAGTTATTATATCGTCTACGGAGAAAGGAAAATATTCCTATATTCTTCAGGAGGTATGTCATTAATGATGCACACTCTTCCCTTCTTCCCTCCGCAAGGCAGAGCAAGGCGGTGATATCTGAGGATTGCAAGGGGCAATTGGTGCAAGACTGGTTATATTTCTGCCAAGTATTGCCTACGTCCGCCGTCTACATACGTAAAAATATGGTATCTTATCAACAAGATGTGTTCATGCACAACAGGCTTGTAGCAAGCTTGTCTCACAACTTAACAAATTGTTGAATTGCATGACGATAACAATTAACTTGTTGGAACAATTGTAACCAGTAAACTGGAATGATAAATCAGGGGGCACTATAGACTTGCTCCAAGTCTCTCTTTCCAGAGTCTCTTTCATTGTTATATCGATCCACTATAGTGTACATTACATGACGTAGCACGGAGAGGGGGAGCGAGAAAGAGAGACTTGTCAACTTCGGAAAATC